AATTCCAAAAGCCGAAGTTATTTTCATGAAGGTTAGCGATATATATAAATGAACTTTACACTCAAACATTATATATTGATTAGCTATTAAGGAAAATTAATGTATGATTGTATTTAAGTTTTTCAGTCGATGCTTCATGACTGGGGTGATGATCGATGTTTGAAGTTATTTAAAGTGTGTTATGATGCATTGCCAAAGAATGGAAAAACATGCATTATAACAAAGACTATCTTCCAACAAGAGATGGCTTTGTCTCAAATTCTTCCTAGGACCGAACAAGAATTTGAAACATTGGCGAAACAAGCTGGTTTCTCTTCTTTAAAGGTCGTTTCTTGTATGTATAATCATTGGGTCATGGAAATTTGCAAAGGTGATTGATTTAAAAGATTCAATTTAATCTCATCTGAGTCACGTTTTAGTGTTTGTTTGGAAGATAATTATTTGATATGATAATAAATTTTTCATGCATAATTTTAATCTAATCGAACATGTGATGGTATTTTTCCTTTTTTTGTTGTTGATAAATTTGTTTTTTTTTCATCCAAAAGAACCCACAATGCAAATAAAATATAACCTCACACAACCACTGTCCCAAGAAAAACAGTAAGCAAACTTTAGAATTTTGTGGTCTTGCAAGTCCAAGGGGAACACCAAGGTAAGAATCTTAGCCTTCATCTTGAAAGCTTCAAATCAAGCCTCTAATCTATCTAGTTTGTCATGGTATTCATGAGGAGGGTTTTAGTGGGGGGTTTGGAATCTTATGCTAGTTCAGCTTGTTTTTGGAGGATTTGTGTCTTAAAAACCTCTAAAACATATTCCTAAGCTCCTAATTCCGTTAGTAACACTTGTGGTTGATTCGTTGTCTAGTGAGAGAAGTTGGAGAAAACTCCAAGAACAAAGGGAAAAAAAAGTGACTCTTGGTTGAGCCTTGGGCACTTCCGACAGTCTAGAAATCTAAGGTAACCCATTTCTCACTCAACATCACATGTAGGACACTAGATGTGTTTTGATAGGTTGTATGAGTTATGAAACATGTTCATGTTAGATTTGACGTTTTTCAACTTGTTTATGGACCTATTATAACCCCTCTTGATTTACATAAAACTTTAAATATGTTTGGGAACCTTAGTAGGACTTTTGGGTGAGATTTGAGTCATTGTTGTGCCCAAAATAAGGCATTTTGGGTTTGAGTGTCGATATTGTACTGGAAGAATTGTATCGATATTGTTCATCAATTAGCTTAAAATATGAGTGTTTTGGGAATGTAAATATCGATACTCATCTAAAAGTATCGATATTGTAGAACATGTTTCTATACTCACATGGTAGTATCGATACCAGACATATTTAGCAAATCTTAGTAGGTCATTTAGTATCGGTACTTATGGGAGTATCGATACTGAGGGTTGAGTATTGATATTCCCAATAGGAGTATCAATATTAAGGAATTTTTCAAAACATCGAAGGAAAATTTGGTATTGATATTCAGGATAGTATCGATACCACAATCCAAAAGTATCGATACTCAAGCTAGAGTATCGATACTACCCATTCCATTTTAGTTCACAATAGTTAGTCGGTATCAATACCTAGATGTTAGTATCGATACTCATGAGTCAGTGCTAATACTGAAGGACTTAATATTGGTACTCACGAACAATTTTGGATAAGAAACCCAAGGGTTTTAAGGGATAGATTTGAGGAACCCAATAATTCCAGAACACCATGAAATAAAATGACAAGTGAGAACAATAATAAATGCAAAATAATTAGAAACAATCACAACTACAATCACAACTACGATCACATAAAACTAGTCTTGTTTGATGCTCGGGAAACAATTAGGATATCTGAGTTACTTTAGAATATATCAATCGTACAATTCAGATATATCCAAGTAAGTGCCAAGGTACTTCAGTTGCCAACTGGGCAGAGATGTTCCAAGACTCAACTGAGTAAGTTGGTCAGGTGTACTGTAACATCCTCAATACCGGGTTAACGACCAAAGTGTGAAATTTTAAAAATTTAGTGACTAGATTGGATAAATTGAAAAGATGAAGGAATTAATTGAAATATTTTAGATAGGATAGTTTAGTAAATGAAGAAAGAGTCAAAGGGCAAATAGGTCATTGAACAAGGAAAATAATTAAATAACAATTATTGGGTATTTTAATACATATGTGGAGCATGGTTTGGAAACAAATATTTCCAAACTTCTCTTCTTCATCTTCTTCATCTTCTTCTTCTCCAACCGAGAAGCATACAAGCAAAGGTGAGTTTCTTAATTAGTTGATTATTTGTTGAATTAAAGGTTGGATTATGATCCTTAGGTGATACTTAAGCTTAAGGAAAGCTTAAGTTGTCTTATAATCAAAAGATGAAGAAGTTATAAGAGATTAAAGGGAATGAGTTTCTAAATAAATTTCTGAGAAAGAGTTGATAAGTGGAATTGGAAACTAAAATTGACTTGTCATAGGTGTGAATAAGAAGTTATAAGTGTTAGAAATAAGTTTGGATTACATGGAAAATTTAGTAAGATTCTTGGTTTTAAGAATTTGGATGAGATATGGGAGATAATAAGGTGTTGGAATGATAAAAGTTAGTTAAAATGGTTGTAGTTGAGTTTAGTTGTATGAAATGAGTTTTATATGAGGAAATTTAATGAAAAGTTATGGAATTTTCGGGTGAAACCAGTTTATTATTGACAGGTGCGTCGGTACACTATGAATGGGTACCGATGCACTAAGACCAATTTTGAAGGTGCATCGATACACACAGGCATGCATCGATGCATGAAAATTTCGAAGCTATTTTGGGTACCGATGCACCCATAGTGCATCGATACACCCCTAAAGGAAAATGTGAATATTAATTTATTAAATTCGTTTAAATTAATAGCATCGAAGTATAAGGTTTAGGCTTTTGATAATTGTCTTGAAAATTATATTTATGTAGATACAGAGCCTAAACGAGTTCCAGAACAATTGACAAGTAAGATTGATCGAGGGAAAGACAAAGAAATATAGGTGAGTGCATACTATAAGTATAGTACAATGAAATAAGACTTGTGATAAGTCTAATTCCTATGTTGATTTTCATAGTACAATAGTTATGAACATGCATACATGATAATTATTACGATACATGCATAAGATACAGATGTTCATATGATTTGATAAACTATATATGTGAATAGATTCAAATGCACATGTGATATAATATGTGATATGAGAATATGACATGAAATAAGCGATATGAGCTATGTGATCACAAGAGAAATGACATGAGTACATGAACATATGAAACATAAGAATAATGCCCATTGTATATGATATGAGAGCTATAGGTATAGTTGGCATGCCAAGAGTCGAGGGTTCTACGTGGTCCTTCGGGACAAATACATAAGTCCTACTAGACAAATTTCACATGTCCCTAGTAGGACCCCATACGAGCCGTGGTGATAGCAATAGTGCACAACTTCAATGTACTCGAATACCTTGAGTTCTCAGTAATGTACATGGGCTTACAAAAGGTATCAAAAGTGTTTACATTATTACATGTTATCATGTTATTATCATTTACACTGAATTATCTGTGACATGATAGAATAATTAGATTATATGTTAATATGTATATGAGATGCATTATTATTATTATTATTATTATTATTATTATTATATTTTACGCCTCACTAAGTCTATGACTTAGCGTGTAAGTGATTTACACGTAGGTGTTGAGAAGCAGGAGAATTAAAGCTAAGTTCAAAGGAACAACATATCTCTGCTCAAAGATCAGATTAGAAATAAATTACACAGTATGTATTGTTATGTGATAAATAAGTTGGCAAGTAACAAATTTGGTAAATTAAGTATTTATACTTTGATCGAGTTTTGTAATGTTTTAAACATATTTATGTAAATGGTAATGGTATAGTGATGAAAGCTTAAATTTTTATGAGTTTTATATAAGTTGAGCTGCAGTTACTGTAACAATACTGTAGCAGTACATCGATACACAATTTATATTCAATGTTTTTGTGCATCGATACACTATAGCAGTGCATCGGTACACTGTAGCACTATTCATGGTATTGTTTCTTACTGTTTACGGTACTGTTCATACAATATAGTACTATTCATACCGTATAGTACTATTCATAAAAACGTTTTGCCTTAAATTTGTTATAATAAAACATAATTCAACGGTATATTATTGTATTTTCTTAATATAAGTCCAAATGTTTTGTTATTTTGTAAGAATATTATTTTAAAAAGTCAATGTGACATCTCAGACTTGTATTCGGATCGAGTATGGGTTGGGGTGTTACATGTACGTTTCCGATGCAATTTCGAATTTCACCCCAGATACCTAAGGTTACTTAGGAATGTTAGAGGGATGTATGCTCCGAGATACAAAACCCTCAGTCATACCATGATGCATACCTCAACATGTCATATCAGCATTTTATGTCTTCATACCTATACCACTAGCATATTCATTTAGTGAATGTATGTAGTGTAGTACAATTATTGGTGTGGCACTGAGCTCGTAAACTCAGCGTTCGGAATGTGTTTTTGTGCGCATGTTCTTAGGACACCGTCAGTGGAGTGTTATCGTCACCAGATATTCTAGCTCAACTGAGGTTTCAGAGTACGTCTTGATTTGTATTAGAAGGCATGTACTATTGTAGACCCTTTCTGTATTCAATTGTAACTCTATTTTTTTGTATTAAACTCAATGTTGTCATTATTTTGGATATTTGAGAGCTCCTCATATTTGTAAACTCCGATTTATTATGCTTTTATTTTATATCATTATGGATGGTTATTTTATAATGGTTACAATCTTTTTTTAAAAAAAAGATTTTTTTTGGATTTATCACTTTGGTGGTCCCGTGCGACATTTTAATTCCTCGGTCTTTGAGTCGAACTAGATTAGGATGTTACACATTAGGTATGATTTCTCCAAAAATATATGAGATTTGATTTTTTTTAAATACATCAATTTTTTACAACATTAAATGCATGCCTCCTCCTCCCAATTGATGCCACAGTTCCCTCAAATAGTTCATCAATCAACCCCTCGATATCTTCAGGTTGATATTTCATGTACTTCTCTTGCTGTTTACCTTTATTAAAATGTGAACTGAACCTTCCCAAGAAGGCCCTGTATGCCGGGATCACGACTGCTGATATCGACACTCGAAGCTCCGATTTAAGCTGTTCGTCGCTAACCGTCCAAGCGGTCTGCGTCTTATGGATTTCGTCGAACATGGCGTTGAAGCTCTTGAACCTTTCTTTCAATGTTGACTTGGACACCTTGCCGTTCACTTGCAGGCCCTCATGGCTCATGCATTGCAACACCTTGCCCCATGTCTCCCTTTGGTAGTTCTTATGGTACTGCCTTAAGTCCGATGATTGTTTCCGCAACCATTCGTCGCCCATCACTTCGTAGATGTCGTTCGAGCTCTTGATTTTCTGCAACATGTACCTCCCGTTGTTCATCAGGAAGATGTAACGCAACGACGGGTCGCGATACAACTTCGATTTCATGTTGATGTTGGTGTCTAACAAGTCCATCACCAACATCAACTCTTTTGCGAAATGGGTTGTGTTGGTGCTCTCACCGTTGTCCTCAGTTGCATTCTTAGGCTCTTGCTTGGTCGGTCCTTCAGTCTCGTTGTGTTGCCGATAGATTTTCTCTAGTGTGTCCTTGTACTCGCAAGCGTATTTTAGATAATTCATGGTGTATCGAGTTAGGGGGTGGACCGCACCATTCGCCACCGGGATTTTCCCGTTATCATTCTTGATTGAATCCTCGAGCTCGCGGAAAATGCTCACGGCCGCTTCGCCGATCCTGCATTGCGTCTCGGGTATCAAGTCCTTTGCGGATAAGTCATTACCGATAACAGAAATCAAATCGCACAATGTCTCGTATATGTCTAGGAACTTGAATAGTTTCTCCGTGGAGTACTGTTTGATCAAAAGCAGAGCATTTGGGAAATTAAGAAGCTTGATGGTCAAGGATGTAGCCAGATCGCAGAACAACCTCTGAGCAATCGGAGCGTGTTCGAATATCGACTCGCAAAGCTTGCGTTCGAAAGAGAAGAGATTCGTCATGCAATATTTGACGATACGAACCCAATTATCGATCCCGCCTTCCTGTGTTGCCCATTCCATCCTTTGAAAGTCCTCCATGCTGATGTTTTCGTACCCTTGCTTGCTGAACTCAGCGTGCAATGCGTTCAGCCTAAGAGCCATGTACGCGACGCAGCATTTGGAGTCATGCCCTGCAAAGATCATCACAGTGGCCACTTCTTTCATAACGACCTTCGATCCGGGCGGAAAATACGGGAACTCGGTCTCGATTTCAGGTTGATTGGAGTTGAAGACGGATTGCTTTGGAGTCTTCGGAGTTTTGGAATCCATGATAGTCACATGGCAGCTGCGTTTCCAAATGTCCAGAAGAGCCTGGAACTCGGTTTCCAACATCGACATCGCACGTTGTAATACCGATCCCGCTCGATTAGAACAACCGCTGGCCACAGAATCCATTGTGAACTCATCGAGACAATGCACCATCTTCGAAAGTTGGGTTACGGCCTCAAAAAACGATGAATCTTCATCCTGGTTATGGCCAAACTTAGCCGAGGCTTCCCTCCTTTCGTACGTCGTGATCCTGGAATCCATCGTCTTCATAAACGGCTCAATGATAACTGGAATTTCAGGGGATATCGACTTATCTCGAGCCGAAACTAAGCTTTCGATGAATCGATCAACCTGTTCCAGTATCTGGTCATGATTCAACCCATGTTCCAACATTATCTCATCGGACCCCGTAACATGATTGTCATCAGGTTCCTTTGGCTTAACATTCTCCAACTTGAAACTCGATGTCTCCAATTCGAATTTGGTCCGACGTCTTCCGAATCTCGGAAAGCTACCGGACTTTTCACCGTTGAGGATCTTCTCCATGTCAGGGCAATCAACGTGGAAATGTTTTTTGCTCTATATTTTCCCGTTTATGTGTAGTTTAGATAATTTCTGGAGGGAATCCATGCCTGTGTTTTCCTGCCTTATGAACATTCTTTTAGGGAGGTCATGGTTATAATCCAACTCTAATCACAAATTATTAACTATAATAATCCATTATATAAAAATATAGTTTAACCCCAACATTGTATGTTTACTTAATATTTGAATGTATCCCCTACTAAACTTACAGCACCAATCATTCCTGTGCAGTACAGGCTAACCAACTTTAGAGAGTTAATTACATTGTATGTTCTTAAATTATGATTTTTATTTTAAATTGATCTTTAAACTTTTAAATATTTCAATTTCATTCTTAAACTATGATGATCATTTTAAATTAGTCCTTAAACTTTTTAATATTTTAGTTTCATCTCCAAACTATATCCTTCATTCTAAATTGATACCCAAACATTTTCAACATTTCAAATTCATGAGAAATTATATTATTATATGTTTGAAAAAAATAAAGTTTAGGATAAGTTGTGGTTAAAATCAATTGCATATTTGGATGAATTTGAGGATGAAATTGAAAGATTTAAAAGTTTATGGATAATTTAGAATAAGGGTTATAGTTTAAGGATGAAATTGGAATGTTCTAAAGCTTAAGGACTAATTTAAAATAAAATTAGAATATTCAAAGTTTAGAGACCAATTTAAAATAAAGGTTATAGTTCAATTAACTCAAAAAAATTAAAATTTTAAAAAAATTCTTAACGACAGAATTTTAAAAGTTTAGTGATTACATGTGTAAATTTACCCTAAATAATATTACAGATAGTGCCCTGAATATTCTTCCTACAAATACAATTGTCTTCTTTCAGCTTCCCATTTGGTCAACTGAAAGCTGCGTTTCCTTTTAGTACTACAAGTCTCGCCAGCCTCCCACCTTCATTTAAACGACACTTCGTCCCCAGCTTTGTTAGAAAGACCAAAATCTCTATTTATTTACCCCTTTTTTTTTCTCAGAATTCTCTCCTTTGAACCTCTGATAGTTCTCTATGGCAACCATTTCCAAGCTCTCTAACCCCAACCCAACAGCTTCTCTTCCTTCATCTCTCAAACCCAAATCTTCTATTACCCATAAATGCTTCCTTGGGTTCCAAGCCAAGCCTGGTTTTAACTCCAAGCTGGCTTCCTGTTCTTGCATCTCCTTCACAAGCAACCACCCTTCCAAGGGTCCCTCGGTGTAAGTATATTGGCTGATTTATTAAACCCAGTTTGCTTGTGTTGTTGATTGATCTTTAAGTGCTAAACCCCCTTTTTTGGGAAGATTTTGTTGCTGCATGCTGATGTTTTGGTTTCGTTTCTTTATTTAATGTTGAGAGAGCTTTGGTAATTATTGTGTTTAAAGATGATGTTTTTTTCCCCAGAAATTTTGTTTCAAGTAAGTTCCTTTGATTCTCCAAATGCTGTTTTCTTGTTGCAGGGTCAGATGTTCTGTTGGTGATGGAAATGGTACTACAGTGAAGAGGACTACTTTACATGATCTTTATGAAAAAGAAGGGCAGAGTCCATGGTATGACAACCTTTGCAGGCGGGTGACCGATCTGCTTCCGCTGATCGAAAATGGGGTTAGCGTTACTAGTAGTAACCCTGCGGTAAATACCTGCCTGCTATCGTTTCCGTCCTCGGTTTAGTTTTCGGTATTCCCCTATTTTGTTATGCTGAAACAGTTTTGAAGCATATGGTTGCAGATTTTCGAGAAAGCTATATCGTCGTCGAATGCTTACAACGATCAATTCAGGTATTGTGATGAGTTGCTCAAGAGGATTGATTGATAATGCTGAATGGACAATTTTATTTAGGCTTATCAATATATCCTGAGTTTGATGGTTATCATTGTATCTTGGGGTTTGAGAATTGAATTTTTCTTCTTTTTCGCACTCGTATCTTTTACCTTTAAGATTACTCGAATTCGTAGGAAACTTGTGTAGTCTGGAAAAGATATCAAACGTGCATATTGGGGTTTAGTTGTGAAGGACATTCAAGATGCCTACAAACTTTTTGAGCCAATATGGAGGAGATGGTTATGTTTCCGTCGAGGTTTCTCCCAGACTTGCTGAAGATACTGAAATGACCATTGAGGCTGCCAAACTTCTTCATAAAGCGGTTGATCGTCCCAATGTGTACATCAAGATCCCTGCGACAGCACCATGCATTCCTTCGATCAAGGATGTTATTGCAAAGGGCATAAGAGTGAACGTCACTGTATGTTATTTCTAATATCCCGACTTAACTTAGAGTGGAAGATGATGTTTTGGGCTACATGCATGTGTTTTGTTCTTATGAGGATCTACTGTTGTACCAATCCAAACAATCAATGCTTTGGATGGTCCATTGGCTCATAAGTTGAGAACTCTAAACCGATTAATGCATGTAAATCTCAACCTCGGTTTTTCTTCATCTGCAGCTCATATTCTCGCTTGCTAGATATGAAGCTGTCATTGATGCTTGCTTGGATGGCCTCGAGGCTTCCGGGCTGAGTGATCTCTCTAGGGTTACAAGTGTAACTTTCTTCTTTGTCAGTCGGGTAGACACCGTCAGACAAAATGTTTGAAAAGATTGGAACACCAGAAGCCCTTGATCTCCGAGGAAAGGTAACTTAAACCGTAATATACATGCCGTACACTATGAATATCAACTTTAGTATATGTCGGGATTTACTCACATCGTGTGATGGTTACTATCTTTTAGGCCGCGGTAGCTCAAGCAGCTCTGGCATACCAGCTCTACCAGAAGAAATTCTCTGGTCCAAGATGGGAGGCTTTAGTGAAGATGGGAGCCAAGAAACAGAGGTTGCTGTGGGCCTCTACTAGTGTAAAGAACCCTGCCTACCCCGACACCCTATACGTCGATCCTCTTATTGGTCCTGACACGGTGAGCTATCTTTCTTGTTCGATTGGTGAATAATCCTGCCACGTGTTTTGGTGAATTAATTTTGTTGCAGGTTTCAACCATGCCGGACCAAGCTCTCCAAGCCTTCATAGATCACGGCACAGTTTCGAGGACGGTCGATGCAAAAGTGTCTGAAGCTGAAGGCATCTATAGTACACTTGAGAAGTTGGGGATCGACTGGGCCTACGTCGGCTCACAGCTGGATGAAGAGGGAGTGGAGTCTTTCAAGAAGAGCTTCGACAGCCTTCTTGACACCCTGCAAGAGAAAGCAAACTCTCTTAAATTGGTTAGCATGTAAAAGATCCATATATCGATTCTTTCTGCTTGTAATAATGAAATCGCATAGGTAATTTTTTTTAATTAATATGAGATAAGTTAAAGATATTATTTATTTAAAGATAACTTAAAAATAACTCTCAACTATTTGAAATTAAACACGTACACATCTGGTATTTCTGATATTTAAACCCGAAATCTCAAGAAATAACAATAAATCTTTTAAATCTTAATTCGTGCACATAAATAAATCTACTTTGAATGAATGAGTCAAATTTGCTAATGCGGAAGTGTTTAAATTATATTTTACATAATTATTATGGTTAATCATCCAGTTTAAATTGGCGATACAGCGTTTTTCAAGGAACATGAAAAAAATGTACGCATCAGCTTTGTGCTTTCCCTTATTAAATAACTAAAAACAGAGGGTTTTGTGTTCCATTTCCTTTCATACTCTTGAGCAACATCATTAGAACATAAACCAAAAGAACTCTGCAATATTTTATGCCAAAAACTTTAGAAGTCCGGTTGCCGGCGATGGCATGGCCGCTACCGCCTAAATTATTTTTGCAACTAACCATGGGATAAAACAAAGGTATCATCATCATATGTGGATTTACTTAGGCTGCGGATTCCTTGGCGATCTTGTCTGCCTTGGCAATGACTTCCTCTATTCCTCCAACCATGTAAAACGACTGCTCCGAAAGATCATCGTACTTTCCATCCAACACACCCTGTAAGAGTCGTGATTATTAAGAATTAATGCTCTACTAATACCACATAATAAATGAATAAACCTTGTCAATGAATTCTCGTAAAAAGGAGGGTCTAAATATCTATATAAAGAGAACATACATTTAATTATCCAGATTCATATTAATTGTCTAAACCACAAGTTGAAATCTATGTCGACCCACATCCAAGGTATTAGCATTTTCAATATATCTGGGTTTAGCCATACATATCACATTGCCTTTATTTGCCCTATAATGTAAGCCGACATTATCCATGTGTCACATAACTTGGCCAATTATTTAAATAATGAAGGATATCATGCAGTGGATCCACCCAATAGTAACTACCCACTTTGTCATGCATGCCATAACATACTATACAAGAAGCCAGGCAGAGATAAAATCGTGTACCTGGAAGCTGGTGATGCTCTCTTTCAAATCCACATACTTGCCGGGAGCACCAGTGAACACTTCTGCTACATGGAAAGGCTGGCTCAAGAACCTTTGGATCTTACGAGCACGAGCAACAGTTAACTTATCATCTTCACTGAGCTCATCCATTCCCAAAATGGCAATGATATCTTGCAAGTTCTTGTAGTTTTGGAGAACCTTCTGCACACCACGAGCAGTATTGTAGTGTTCCTCGCCCAAGATATGTGGAGAGAGCATACGGGATGTAGAATCCAAAGGATCCACAGCAGGGTAAATACCAAGCTCAGAGATCTGTTAAAATAAAGAAAAAAGTGTTATGAGCAAAGAGCAGCAGATAATCACAAGGTAGCATCAGATAGATCACCTTCGGAAAACATATAGATGTGTACGATACCTGACGGGACAACACAGTGGTAGCATCCAAGTGAGCAAAGGTTGTTGCAGGAGCCGGATCAGTCAAGTCATCAGCAGGCACATAAATGGCTTGCACAGAAGTTATAGAACCTTTCTTGGTGGTGGTAATACGCTCTTGAAGGCCTCCAAGATCAGTAGCCAATGTCGGTTGGTAACCGACAGCAGATGGAATACGACCAAGCAAAGCAGACACTTCTGAGTTTGCCTGGGAAAAGAATGTACAAAATTCAAACCATCAGCAACATGTAACACATAAAGTGAACTGTTTCAAAAGCTTCCAACGTAAGTCAACTCACTTGAGTAAATCTGAAAATGTTGTCAATAAAGAGAAGCACATCCTGCCCTTCAGCGTCACGGAAGTGTTCAGCCACAGTCAAACCAGTAAGGCCAACACGAGCACGAGCACCAGGTGGCTCATTCATTTGACCATAGACAAGAGCACACTTGCTCTCAGCCTGGATTCATACAAAAGAGAAAAATCACAAAGATAAGATACAACAAAATATAGAAATCCGGACAAGATGAATAAGATTAGATGCCTGGAATTTACCTGCTTGTCACCTAGCTTGATGACACCACTCTCAATCATTTCCCTATACAAGTCATTGCCCTCTCTTGTGCGTTCTCCAACACCAGCAAACACCGAGAAACCACCTATGTACAGAAACTAGTAATATAAGAATAATAAACAATGTACAAACTGTGAACCAACAGCGAATATAACCTAAAACCAACCATGAGCTTTAGCAACATTGTTGATAAGTTCCATAATAAGCACAGTCTTTCCTACACCAGCACCACCGAAAAGTCCAATCTTTCCTCCTCTTTGATATGGGGCAAGGAGGTCAACAACCTTAAATATAAAACAAGATAAAAAGGTTTTGACTGATATCATATAATCCAGATTTAGTCAACATAATGTGTAAATAGAAGTTTGTCCTGAAACAGGATAACATATTTCTATTAGAAAGATAGAAAACAGGAATAGCATGGCATCAGAGAAATACATATTTCCAACCATTAATTAGTACCTTAATACCAGTGACAAGGATCTGTTGCTCAGTAGCTTGATCAACAAAAGCTGGTGCCTCTCTGTGAATGGGCAAGTAGTGATCGGTTTCTATTAAAAAGTAATCAGTCAGTTAGATTTTTATACCAGTATACAATACACTGTTCAAATTTAAAAATTGTTGGCAAATCTCTTACTGAGTTCGCCTTTCTCGTCAATTGGCTCTCCAATAACATTTATGATTCGACCAAGAGTAGCTCTACCAACAGGAACCTGAAAGAAACAAACCAGTGAAATTCAAGTACAAAAGTATTATATAGTAGACAACTGAAAATGGTAAAAATCTCAGTAGTAAAAAACTCTAGGGTAAAGTAACCGATTTTAATTCGGTGTCTAATAATTTCAGGAAAAATAATCACTGGAAAGCCTCTCACTAATTCCAGAGAATAAATCAGATCCATAATCAGACATTTATCTTAATTTCGCTGCATCTCTAAGTTCCAATTTCCAACATTATCTCATTTCCAGTAAAATGATATACAACACTTAAAAGAGAAGAGGATAATTACGGTGATAGGAGATCCAGTATTGAGGACAGGCTGCCCTCTAACAAGTCCCTCCGTTCCATCCATAGCAATGGTCCTAACCATGTTTTCACCCAAGTGCTGAGCTACTTCCAGCACAAGTCGGATAGAGTGGCCCGTCACCTCAAGCGCCGTTAAAATAGGAGGCAAACCTTCATCGAATCTCACATCAACGACGGCACCGATCACTTGACAAACCTGACCAATTGCTCCTGCTCCAGTAAATTCATCGGTGATCTTACCTTTTCCGCTTCCTTTCTTAGCCGAAAGAGACTGCGATGGTGCAGGAGAAGCGGCTGCACCTGCAGATGTGGCGTACTCAGCATCGCGTGAGAGGAAGTAAGGACAGGGAATAGGACGGCGCGTATGAATCGGAGAAGAGAGGCGAGGGTTGGAGTTTGAGGGTCTAGGCATAGATCGGCGAGAAGAGGAGCGTAGGAGAGAACTGAGGAGTCGACGCGAAGCCATTGATTTGGGCTTCCAGAGAGAAGCTAGGGTTTGATGAGATGAACTTTTCAGAGAGCAATATCGGCTCGTTTAATTGTTATAATGACGAGATACTAGATGGGTCTTTTTTTGGTTTATTACAAAATAAGTATTCAAATTATACTAGATTTTTACTTTAGGTATCAAATCTTTTTTGTCTTTTATTCAGTTTGTTATTAGAAGTGAAATCAAAGATTTTTTAGACTAAGTTTTGATTCCACTACCTAAATGCACCACCCGCAGAACTAGCGAGAATGATCCAGAAGGACATAGATTTAACTAAAGTTACGGCAGATTCTCATTCAATCACAAAAAAAAAAAATAAAGGGTAAACTACATAATACCTAATTTTTTCAAAATCATGTTTAACGTTTAATTTTTATTTTATTTTAGTATCTGTCGTTAAAAACTTAACGCATTTAATACTTAAATTATTAATTTTGATCTATTTTAATATCTAAAAGTTCAAAAAAAATCAAAATTATGTTAAATTTTGAACATAGGTACTAAAATGAAAAGAAAAAAAAGTAAAATTTTTAACGACAATGTACTAAAATAATAAAATGAAACAAAAATTATACTTTAGGTATAATTTTAAAAAAATTGAAAGTTTAAATATTAAAACGATTCAAAATTGGTAATCTAAGAACTAAATACGTAAATTATCCTAAAAATATTAATAATATAACTAACGTCCATATATCTATTTAACTAATTAAAATGCAAATAAATAAGGTTTAAGCCAAAAATGCCCTTATCTACCAACTACACAACCCAGTTGTCCATTGGCAGTCATAGCCGCTACCATACCAAGTTGGATGGGCCATCAAACACACATGGTTCAGTTGAAACGTTATTACCTTTCCTTCAAACTAATTTATGTGCTGAAAGCAACACCTCATTTGGAGTTGGAGGGCAAACACAATTTTAAACCGTGGAATGCGTATCTGAAAGCAGTCCCTCTCAAGAACTCTTTTTTACTAATACTATATAGCGGTTTTTTTCCCGAAGATTCGGCCAGCTCAATTCCCACGAGATGATTCCCAAAGTCGATGTTCGATTCCCAATTTCCGCAACTCCATCAGTCCTTCCTCAGCTGAACAAGTAAAAACACAAGTAATAATAAATGCAAGGGAATAACTGAATTTAGATTCAAAGTTTGGTTAAAAAAACAGATAAAGAAAAGGCTTAAAGGCAGGGGAAAAGTGCAGCAATGCTCGATAAAATTTAGGATTACCATCTACAGCATCATGTGAACTTGGCGAATGTGCAGAACGGCTGATCCAAAATTTAAGTCGCTCTTTAGCTGTATCCTCCTCGATGCCATGTGATTTGGCTCTTCTCCAAAAATATGTAAGCCATGCCTAGATAGTATGTTGCATAAATGGTCAACCGCATCATGTCATATTCCTTTTTCCAAGTGTCAAACAAGACATACAAAATACTAGAGTAACCATTTAACAAATTGGCCTAATCAACTTAATGGAAAAAATTTTGAAATTCCAATACTTAAGCTCGACACTATACCAACAGGTCTAGCAAAAGGGGTCAAGGTACCTGTCCCTTGTTGGCAAGTAAATTGATAAACGATAATATGGAAATTTCAAAGTTTGAAGCCGATGCAATTTCCACACACAAATTAGTACCAGTTGGGCCAGGATAAAGTTATTGCCACCAGCAATCAAACAAAATAGTTTAATGGGAAGACCAAGAAATTCATGAGCTCGGTGGAATAATTAAGGATGAAAATGCAGCAAACATCATCGAGATAAAACTGCAGATAATAAAGAGAGACGACGGCCATACCTCCTTGAACAGAACATCCTCAGACTCCTCTGGACTCAATTCTGCAATA